CTGGGCGGAGGCTCCGGCGTCCCTGAGGGGGTGCCCGCGTCGCTCTGCAGGGCGGCCAGCAGCTTCAGGCTGCGCTCGTACTCCAGCAGCTGGCCCAGGAAGTTGAAGTTGGGCGAGATGGACGGACGCCTGTCCTTCACGAACCTGCGTGGGGGCAGGGGGAGAGGCTTAGTCCCAGGCGCCCGCCAGGGCCAGGCTGCCCACCTGACACCACCCACTGGGCACCCATGAGCTCATGTGCGCCAGGCTGGTCTCAGGCCCTCCTCCCTTGCCAGGGGTCCTGGACGGTGGGGCCATTCTGGTGCAACTGGGCAGCCGAGGGAAGGCAGGTGATGCCGTGAGTCACAAGTGCGTGACTGGGGAAGGCGGTACCTGTAGGCGTCGTCGGAGGACATGCCCATGGTCTTCATGATGTAGGCGATGGCGATGGTGGCAGAACGGGAGATGCCGGCCAGACAGTGGACGATGACTTGGCAGCTGGAGAGCTTGGCTTTATCTGGGCAGGTGGGCCATGGGGGCCAGGTGAGGGCTAAGCCTGCACAGCTTCTCCCTGGCCCAGGGAGGGGACCCCACCTGCCCGACTGCCAACAGTTCGGGCTACTTCCCCGGGACCCCTCCTGTGCCTGTGGCCACGCCCAGCTCTAGCCTTCCTCTAGCCAGGCCCCCGCCCTCCGCCCGCCGCAGGCTCACCGATGAACTCGATGGACTTGTCCAGCCAAGGCAGCAGTTTTTCACAGTAGTTGTCATTGATGGGGACCCTCATGAAGCGGCTCTCGCAGATGAAGTCAGGTTTGGGGCAGGAGTTGCTGGCGTTGAGGACGTAGCTTATTCCATTCTGCGTCATCAGATCCTGGAGGGGCGGGAGGACGGGTTGGAAAGGGGTGGGAGAAGCTGGGGGCGGGAGTGAAGGCGGAGGCTTTTCCTGCCCTGCCGTCAGGAGGGCCTTTAGAATCCTGGGGTGGTCCTGGGAGCCTTGGAACCTGTCACGGATCCCAGTGTATCCAGGGGTGGGCCCAGGAGGCCTCTCTGGTCCACCCTGGCACCCTGGGCCTGTGCGGGGGGTGGGGGCATGGCTGGCCTCCATCTGCAGGCCCCACCCATGGCCGGTGGTGGGCTCCTAGGAATTTTATGGTTGCCTGGGTGGTGGCTTTTACCCTTTTCCCTCGTCACCATGTTTAAAACACGGGATTCTTTCAGAGTTGGACAGGGGCCCAGTGACATCCGAAGCTTGGCATGCCAGCTTCCCGCTCCTCCCCCAAGCCCTGCTGGGCCCTCCCCCAAGCCCTGCTGTGGTCCTGCCGGGGGCAGGGGTGGGGAACCTGGGGTCCTCCTGGGCCCCCACCCATGCTTCTCCCACACCCAGCTCATCCACTGCCTTCAGCTCCTTTCCTCTCTCATCCCCCACGCTGCTGCTAAGCTGCCCCTGGAGCTCCTGCCCCTTTCCCATTGACCGCCCCCCAAGTCCACTGCACACACACCTTGTTCAGGACGTCTTTCTGCGAGCCCAGGTACAGGTGAGGCAGGATGCGGGTCAGGCCCACGCTGGGCACAGGCAGGCAGGGCTGGGAGAGGCTCATGGGTAGCAGGGCAGCAGGCTTGCCCTCGCAGAGGCCGGGGAAGCAGGAGGAGAAGGTGGCGAAGCCCCCTGTTGGAGGAGGCCCGTCAGGTGGGTTGAGAGAACACCTAGGCCTCCCCGTCCGCCTAGGGTGCCCTGTCCACCTAGGGCACCCCATCTACTGCTGAGGATCAGTCACACCCAGCTCAGACCCAAGCCTCAGCCCAGCCAGCAAGCCTCTGGCAGCGCACCTGCTCTGGCCGCGGTGGGGGAGGGGGTGCTGCCACACATTTACAGCCCACACCTACGCCCACATTCCTCCTCATGCTAATTAGGGCCTGACCCAGCTGAGGACGCTGCTATGATGCCGGTAAAGGTGGGGTTGAGGTGGCTGGCCAGCGCGGCAGGCGCTGGACCCAGGCGGGGGCAGGCTCAGAGGTCACAGGAGTCTCCTGCTGAGGGTGTGGGTCACACAGCCCAGAGGAGAGGCCCTCGTGAGCACCCCCGTCTCCCATACCCACGGCCGGGAGCCAGGCTGGGCCTTCCTCCTCCCCTGCGCTGATGCAATGCCTCCCTGCCTCCAGCTGGCTGGGAGCCCCAGGCCTGGGCTTAGGTGCCAGGACCAGGAGGCCAGGGCTTCCGAGAGGCCCTCCCCCTCACCAGGCATGACATCACCCTGGCACAGCCCTGGGGGCATTTGCCATCTGGTTATGGCTCTACTCCACCCAGCAGGGGAGGACGGAGAGTGGAGGAGCCCTGGGCACTGGGGGCACGCGGGGCAGGCAGTGGGCACCCACTGCACATGTGACCGGCGTGTGCTGCTGCCTTCCACACACATCCAAGTCCGAGGCCATAGGCTGGTGGGAGGAAATCCTCTGCCCCGCACCAGCTGGAAAGACTGAAGTGTGAATCCCTGGATGTCTGACTTAGTGACCATGGGCAGTGCACACCTTGGCTCTGGTCTCTGCTTCCTCCTCCTGCCTGCCGCACGGCATCGTGCGGCTCCAAGAAGATAATGAGCACGAAGACACATGGTGAGAATGGACCTGGCTGCCCCTGACCTGGTTGGGGTGACCACCGAGGTGGACCAGAAACTGGGCAGCACCTACCTGGTGGCTGCCAGCTCTTGGGAGGGTGGGGCCAGCACGGCCCAGCGCCACCCCGGTGACACTTCCCAGGATACGAGCCCCATGGCAAGCCAGCTCCTGCTTGTGCAGAGCCTGAGGCAGCTGGGCTGAGGCCTGCCCTATCCCACCGTACGAGGCAGGGGAGTGACTGCGGGGACTCAGGGCCTGGGAACCCCAGGGCTCTTTTTTGTCCTGGTTTGCAGAAGAGGCTGGTGCCACATGTGCAGTGGGTGCCCGCTGCCTGCCCCGCGTGCCCCCAGGGCTCCTCCACTCTCCGTCCTCCCCTGCTGGGTGGAGTACAGCCACCCTGGATAACTCCTGAGGAGAGGGGAGTGTGTGCGAACCCCTAACCAGAACGCCTGCTGTGCCAGCTCCCCGTGTCCCTAAAAAGGGCGTGACGCTGGGGGCCTGTGGAGATGGGAGAAGCTCCAGGCTGGGTGGGTTGAGGCAGCAGCCTTGGAGGAACAGTCCCTTCTGTGGGAATCTGCTGGCTGGACAGGGGGAAGCAGGTAGGTGACTTGTTACCAACGACACCCCAGCTTGCAGGTTCCCCTGAGCAGAGGCCGGGCTGGGCACTGTAGCTTCCGCTCACTGTTCTGAGCTGGGGGAGCCCTGGATGTTCCTGCTGCAGGACAGCCCCAGGGAGGGGGAGGGGCTGCACCACTTCCCTGCAGACTCCTCTGGCACCTGCTGCCTCTCCTCGTCCCCGTACCTCTCCCAGGGATTTTGTGCCTTACTCTCTGCTTTCTCCAGGGCCTGGCCAGAGGAGGTGGTGGTGGTGGTGGTGGTGGTGGGGATTCCATCAGAACTCTCCCACCTCTCCCAAAGGAGGTAAAGGCAGGGAAGTCTCTGGACAGGTGCAGAGACCTGACAGCTGTGGCAGCAATTCCCCGGGAAGCTTCCCAGGACCTCCCCAGGTGGAGCAGGTAGTGTGGATGTCCCTACAGACCCCACTGTGGACGCCAGGCCTAGCAGGGACCGAGGCTTCAGGGATGTCAGAACCACTCAGGCTCTGGGGGGTGAGTAATAAGCGAGGGGTGTTGGGATTCAGTGGACCCTTTGTAGGTCCCAGCACTCTTTGGGCCCTGGGGAGGCACCCCTACCCCCAGGCATCTCCAGAGGCACCTTCCCAGTATCCCTGCTCTCCGACTCGGGGGTTGCTGGGGTGGTGCCTGCAGTTCACCTGCTATTCACAATGAAATCCCAGACTTGAAAAAAGGCGTGTGTACCAGGATGTGTGCCCGCCCCATGCCACCTGGGAGATCCTGCAAGCGCCTATGGCCACAGTTACAGAAACGCTTCTGCCCACCACCTCCGTGACCCCCGGACTCCCTGCCAGGGCGGGGGCCGCCACCCCACCCACTTGCAGTGCAGTTGCCCAGCTGAGGGTCCAAGGCCGACTGCAGGCTGCTGCTTAAAGGGCCAGGACCCTCTCCCATCCCGTGCCGCTTGCCCCTCAGCATTGTGAGCAGCACAGCTGGAGTGGGGGAAGAGGAGTGGCAGGCGGAGGTGGGGTTCACAGCAGTCCTGGGACCCCAGCACGGCCTGTCCCACCACTCTCTCCCGCTTCCCGCAAACCTGCCCTGTTGTGGGGAGGACAGAGGCTTGTTCCTCACGTTCCGGCCTCTGCTGTCCCCGCAAATGGGCCAAGGAACTGTGTCACTTGTGCTGCGGGATCCCGGAATGTCCTTTCTCCTGGGTGAGGGGCAGCACCCCTGCCCCACCCAATATATTCTTTCCCACTCTCCCTGGTTCTTCGAAGAGCCAGCCAGAGCAGGGGCTGTGCCCACCACAGGGAGGGAGGGAGTCTGAGGGCACAGCCCGTGGGCCGGCTTGGGTGCTGCCATGAACCCACGCGACACCATGGGGCCTGGGGCTCCTTGGCAGCTGCGCTTCTGGAGAAAAGGGGACACAGCCTCAACCTTGCAGGGCAGATGTCAGCACAGAAAGGCAGCTCAGAGGGTCCCGAGAGTCGGCGGGCATGACCAGGCCCCGGGAGTGCCCTCCTGGCAAATCCCAGCCCAGGCCCGGCCCCTCCCATGCCCACACCCACACCCACATCCACCTGCACACCCATGCTGTCCCACCCACCAGTGCTGGGTGAGGGCCCCACCCCGCAAACCATCCCACTCTGGCCTTGAGGGAGACAGGCCCTTCCAGGCTCGGGACTTTCCTGGGATTCGCCTGGGGGTAGGGAGGTGCCACTCTGAGACCCTTCGCAACCTCCGAGAAGGGCCTCCTGGCTCCCATTCCTGGCTAGGGCAGCAAACTGGCCCTTGGGAGGGGTCCTATTACACCTGGTGAGCTGTAAAAAGCCCCAAACTATTCTCTCTCCCCTCCCCTACCCACTAGTTCCGCCCTCAAACTTAACCTAGGGGATGAAGGTTGGATCAGAGTGCGTCATTCTATGGCTTCTGGTTCTGAGAGTTCACACATATGTATACAAAAACCAAATCTCACCAGAGAGGCACAGGCGAGTACATACACAAATATACCTGCATGTACATACATGTACATACATGCATATACACATGCACACACATCCATGCACACACACATACACACACATGCTCACATACACACACGCAGAGGCAGATGCTGGTCACCAGACGCCCAGAGTCATGCACAGATGCACAGACACCCTCTGACCATGACCAGGACCACACAACAATGCAGGGTGCTGGACTTACACACAGACAGGTGGGGAGGGAGCCTGGCCTCAATGCTCTTGCCCAGGACACCGGACCACCCTCGAGCCTCCGGGTGCCCTTCAGGTCCCAGGACATGGCATCTCGGGAGGTCGGCCTGGTCAAAGTGGCTGTTACCCCCTCATCTGCCTACAGTCGCCCTCAGGCTGGGTTGAAGGCACCTGCTTCCATTGGACACAGGGCCAACGGCCTGGCTTGGCTGCCCACTCCCCACCCCACCACGCCTGCACCCCACAGTCCCCCATGCCCTCTGCTTGCCTGGCACAGCTCCTGGTAACCCAGGCCAGGTGGCAGGAGCCTAGACAAAGACCCCAGACCTGGGTAGGGGAGGGTGCACGTCCCTGGGACAGGCCAGCTCCACCGGGTTCTGGGACCTGGGCCGACCCCAGGAAGTGGATTCTACAGACACACCCTCAGTCACAGCCCAAGGGAAGAAAGAACCCTCTGGGACCACGAGTGTGTGTGTGTGAGAATGTGAGTGTATATGAGTGTGCGTGTGTGTGTGGTGTGTGAGTGTATGTGTGTGTGTGTGTATGAGTGTGCGTATGAGTGTTAGAGTGTATGTGAGTGTATGTGTGTGTGTGTGTGAGTGTATGAGTGTGCATGTGTATGTGTTAGTGTGAGTGTGTGAGTGTATGTATGTGTGAGTATGAGTGTGCGTGTGTGTATGAGTGTGTATGAATGTGTGTGTGCACGTGTGTGTTATATGAGTGTGAGTGTATGTGTGTGTGTGTGTGAGAGAGTATGTGTGTGAGTGTGTGTATGTGAGAGTGTGTGAGTGTGAGTGTGTGTGAGTGTGTGAGTGTATGTGAGAGTATGTGTGAGAATGTGTGTGAGTGTATCAGTATGTGTAGGGAGGTGGCTTCCCTGCCTCCAGGGCTTAGGGCCCGTTGCCCAGGCTGCTTTTGGGCCACAGGGATCCCTGGAGGCTGTCTACTGGGACCCAGTGAGCAGCCTTGATGCCAGGCTGTTGCCAGGCAACCTGCACTTAGCTGGGTTTTTGGGGGCAGGGGGACTTCCTCGGGACCCCACGGCTCCAACTGAGTTTCCAGAGGACGGGGCCTCTGCCTCCCGCTTCTGACAGGAGCCCCGGGAGGGGGAGGGGCTCCCAGCCTGCATGCCTCGCCCTACACCTCCAGAGCCCAGCTGTACTGTGAGGTTTCCTTCTGTGTTGAGGATAGACTCATTGGTGGGTCCTGAAGTGTGGGGGTCCTGGGGAGAGGATGCTGGGGCCTCAAGAACCACAGATGTGGCCAGGCACGGTGGCTCACACCTATAATCCCAGCACTTTGGGAGGCCGAGGCGGGCGGATCACGAGGTCAGGAGATCCAGACCATCCTGGCTAACACGGTGAAAACCCGTCTCTACTAAAAATACAAAAAATTAGCTGGGCATGGTGGCGGCTCCTGTAGTCCCAGCTACTCGGGAGGCTGAGGCAGGAGAATGGCATGAACCCGGGAGGCAGAGCTTGCAGTGAGCCGAGATCACGCCACTGCACTCCAGCCTGGGCGACAGAGTGAGACTCCGTCTCAAAAAAAAAAAAAAAAAAAAAAGAACTACCAATGTATGGAGATGCCCCTGTGCCCAGGAGACGCTTCCCTGGCGCCCCAGCCCCAGCCCCACTGCTGGCGGAGGGAGTGCCTCAGGGAGGCATGGGTCCCAGACTCACCCGTGAGGATGGCCACGCTGTCGAAGCAGCCGTCCAGCTTGCTCAGCAGGATGGAGAGGAAGCTGTCTGCGGCCAGCACACTGGCGTCCCGCGTGCTCTGGTCATAGACCACCACGTCCTGTGGCTCTGTGGCCTCCACCTGGGGGCCATGGGGCAGAGGTCAGCATGCTGCCTCCACCTCTCAATGCCCTGGCCCTGTCCCAGCCGCACTGGCCCAAGGGAATAGTAAGGGCATCAGATGATGGGAGGCAGGCAGCTGTCACCTTGCTGCCTGGAGGGGAGGGCAGGTGCGGTCACGCACCTCACACACTCTCCATCTGCCAAAGGCCCAGGTGCACACACCCACACCACACAGCAGGCCATGGGGGCCCGCAGGGATGGGCTCCTGCCCTGCGCAGCTGTGCCCCCATGCCATGCACATGGGTGAAGGGCACGGGTACTCTGGGCCAGGCCCGTGTGGAGGAGACACAGGTGAGTGCAATGGGAGCCCAGCATAGGACCTGGCTGGGTTCCTGGGGTGGTGGAGGGACAGGGAAGCTCAGCCCATTTCAGGGATTCCAGAGGCAGATGCCTTTGGGTGTGGGCTCTCAGTGGGGCTAACTCTGCAGCCAGCAATTCTGCTCCCCACCCTATCCCCTCCCCAACCCCCAGCGGAGAAACAGAGGGCTGAAGCAGGACCCCAGGCCCCTGCACCAATTCTGGAGGCAGTAGCTGGAAGCTGGGTTCCTCCTGCCCTCCTCCCCCACCCCAAGGGCCGGCCCAGATGTTGAGCGGCTTTTGCTCAGACAGCACCGGTGCCCCCGCCCTGAAAGCACACTCAGCCCTTAAGCCAGCTGAGCCGCCAACCCCAGGCTGGGGTGACGTCATCGGCAGCCAATGGGATCGCACTCTGCCGGGAGTCCTCGCTGGGGGTCATTAATCACCGGATTCCCCTTGTTGGAAGCCAAAGGGAGCAGCTTCTGGCCTTGGGGCGGGCAGACTCCTGGCCAGTGGCCATCCCACTTGAGTCCTCCCATTTCCCAGTTTTGAACAGGGCGTATCAGTGACCCAGACCCCTCTCAAAGCCTCCAGTGCCAAGAGCTTGTCTCCCTCGTCCCCCTGTGAGGCAGTGGAAAGAGGAGGTGCCGCCACCTTCACAGGTCAACAGCCCCGCTGGCCCCTCCCCAGCTGCACCTGATGGTCCTGGGCAGAATGAGCTGTCCTTCCCCAGAAGGATATTCCTGGGGGGCCACAGAGAGAATTCTGGGTCCCCGAATACTCTGCGGGCTGGGGGGAGCTGTGGGACAGGGACACCGACTGCTCACGTGTGCCTTTTGACCACCCCTCCTGTCCTCACAGCAGGGGGAGTGGGCCACACAGCTGTCCCTGTCCCGTGCAGGCCAGCTGGGCTGCTCCCACTGCCATGTGGTCACACCTTGCTCTTCTGTTCACGGCTGCCCTCTGTGAACCTGGGCCAGCCCCGGCCACACAGTCCTATCTGCGTGGGGAGGGCCCGGCACCTCCGTGCAGGAGCTGAGCGAGGAGGCCCTGGAGGGAGGGTAGGGAGGGGTGCTGCGGGAGTATGTGGGGGGGTGCCCTGAGCAGGGGCAACAGGCAGTGGTGAGAGGCAAGTGCCGGGGGGCTGCTCCACACGTCCCCGGCTATGACCCCAAGGAGCCGAATTTGGACCGGAGGGCAGAGGAGGGGGTGCTGCCCGAGCTGAGGGCCCCTTAGCCATGGACCCTGGAGGTGGTGCACGCCTGGCGGGCAGTGGGCTGGGTACCTGGCTGCGTGCAGCCGGCTGGATGAGTTCCGCAATGGTCACCTTGCCCTGCTGCAGCCGCCGCTTCACCAGCTTGGAGCAGCAGATGTTGACGGAGCTGAGCACATGCCAGCTGTTGTACTCCACGAAGGAGCGGCTGTCGATGACCAGCGGCCCCCCAGGCCCGCCCCGCAGCAGGCTGGCCAGCTTCTTGGCGTCCATAACCTTCCTCGGGAGCCGGTCCCCGGCCATGGTGGGGCAATGGGTGCTGGGGAGGGTGACCCCTGAAGTGAGGGGGGGCTGCTCCGACGGCCCAGGTGTGGCCTTGCGCTGGGAGTGACCTAGCACATGGTGCCGGACCTGCAGGGACAGGGGGACGGTCAGCAGTGCTGCAGGTCCCTGGGTGGCACCCAGAGGCTCCCCAGGACAGATCGGAGCTGGGACCTGCGCCCACCAGGACATCTGAGCCCAACGTGTGCCCGTGGGGACCCTTCTCCCTCTGGTGAGACCCCGTCGAGGTCACAAGGCCAGCAGCAGGATGCAACAAGGCAGAGGGGGGCAAATGGGCCCCACAGGGAAGGGTCTGAGGGCTGGACGAGGCCAGGGGTTCTTCCTGTAGGCCCTGGGGTTCACCCACCCTTAGGCATTCCAGAACATTCCATCTCATCCCTGGGACACAGGCATCTCCCTGCTGTGACCTCTGCATCTTTTCCACCACAGGACCCCCAGCAAGTCAGGGGTCTGCACGGCGCCTCACCCTCCCTCACGGTCCAGCTCTCTGCCCTCCTCCAGGCTTGCTGTCTTCACACCTGCCCCTCCCTCCCTGGACTCCCCAGGGAGTCCAATCCCTGCAGACTTGACTCCAGCGCAGCTCCATAAGCCGATAATCCAGCCCCTGGTGGATGGTGGCCTTGGGGCTGCCTCCACTGGAGACTGGGCTCCCGGGGGCAGCTGGATGGCAGGAGGGTTCGGGAGGGGCTCGGGCACGGAGGCACGACTCCTTTGCCACTGCTGCCCTCCTGGCCTGCAGGCTGAGGTTTAGTGCACGCCGCGTGCCTGCTGGGGGTGAGTGCCCAGCTCCTGCAGGGGTGCGTCGCACCCACAGAGTGCCCCTCCCCCAGCAGAGCCTGGGGTCTAGGGAGCCCCTTCAGGGGCTGATGGGGCCCAGGATGGGAGGGGTGGGGCAGTCCTAGGAGGAAGGTCAGTGTCGGGTACCCTGCACGGACCAGGCCCTTGGCATGGTCTGCAAAGGCAGACTGCCAGGTAGGCAGGGGGAGTAGGGATGTTTGAGGATGGAGCCTCTGGAAGCTCCTCCTGCAGGCTTGGTGACAAGCCTCTGTCACTGCCCCACTGCCGGGCCCCATCTCCCTGTCACCTGTCAAGACTGGCCTTCCTCTGGGTCCACTTTAGACTCACAGCCCCTAGGAGGCACACAGTGTAAGGATGATGAGTTTGCTTCAACTATGGGGAAACTGAGGCTTGGGGCAAGGGTGGGACCTGGGCCACACCTGGGTCACACACAGATGGGCACTGGGTGTTCCTGCAAGGTCATCTCCCTTGTGCCCCCACAGCTGCCAGCCAGTCAGGAAGTTTACTCCACCCAGCTCAGGAGTGAGGGAAGGCTGGGAGATGGGTGCACCCTGGGCGCTGTGCAGAGCGGGCTACGGTGGGCAGTGGACCTTCAGCAATTCAGACCCCCAACCCACAGCCACAGGGGGAACTGGGGGCAGCCACCCTGAGGACACCCGTGCACTGCCAACAGCAGGCTGGGGACAGAGGCCACCACCATTTCTGGACTCTCCAGGTCAGCTACCAGGCCGGCGGGGGCCAATGGGAGAGTTCACAGAGCAGCAGGTGCAAGGCTGGTGTGGACCTCGTCCCTGGCCCAGCCCCGACTCCACACTGAGGGGCAGGTCCCAGCTCCTACCTGCCCAGGAGCCCCAGCCACCCACTCACTCTCCTTCTCCAGACACTTTAAGCTTGGCCCCTGCCTGGCCCCTCCCGCCTCGACTAGGCTCAGGCCTCTGTGCATTCCCACCACCCATCCTGCTGCCAGAGGCCAGGGAAACACCTGGCTGTGGACGGGCAGCCTCAGCTGACCCCACAGCTGACACCAGGGACTGCGGTGGCACCTGGTCAGCGGGGCCTCAGGATCCCACTCAGACACCGTTCCTGGGCTGGTGCTCCAGCCTCCACCACAGGGTGGGGAACGAGGCCTGGGAGCCCACCCCAGGGCCAGACCCAGCAAGTTCAACAGCAAAAGAGCCTGCTGCCTGCCTGCTGTGGAGGGTCTCTGCCTGCCAAGGGGGTCCCTGACTGCCTACAGAAGAGCCTCAATGAACTGTTTGTCCTTCCTGAGTTCTACCTGAGACTTGCACAGGTGGTGAGAGGCGAGGGCCCAGATGTGTGGTCCTGGGGAGACAGCGGCTCCAGGTGCCCCATACAACACCCAAGCTCAGAGGCCCAGCTCTGGGCCCAGCTCAGAGGCCCAGAACCCCCAGAAGGCCGCAGTAGCAGGACACTTGGGCTGGGGGTCCTTCGAGGAGCCGCCCCTGGCCTCAATGTCCTCATCCGTTAAGTGGGGGTGGATTCTCTGTCACTGAAAACAACAGAAGCAAACACCAGCCAGTGCAGGGAGGAGGGCAGGTGTGAGAAGAGGCCCCCCTCGTCCTCCCTGTAGCCAGGGCCTAGGCTTCATACAGCCTTGAGTCCTGATACTCGGTACAGCTAGCCAGGCCTGAGACCCAGAGGGAGGGGAGGGAGGAGGGCAAGTCCAGCTGCAGGGCAGTGGGCAGGGGCTGGAGGGGCGGGAGGATGGGTCCCGGCCTTTACCTGTCCCTGCTCTGCCTCCCAAGCAACCCTGAGCTGGAGCTGGGCCTATCACCCACAACAGTATTGTTATTTGCAGCTGAAGGGGATTCATTAGCAAGTTAGCACCTCCACTGTCGTCATGGCAACGGCAGAGGTGCCAGGCAACCGCTGCTCCTGCGGCAGCCACCACCACGGAGCAGGCTCCTCTGCAGAGTGGGCACGCGCCCCTCCCTGCTCTCTTCCACCCACCCTGGCAGGTGCCCGGCAGTGCAGAGCCCAGTCCTCAGCCCCTCCGCTCCTCTGCCCTACCTGGTCCTAACCTTCCTTCCCACTCCCAGTAGCTGCTGTGCCCAGCACGCTCCCTGCAGCTCACTGGCTCCCCACCCCCTCGGAGGCCTTCTCTGTACTGCGAAGGGCTGACCAGGTGTCCCCTCCTGCAGGAAGCCTCCGTGCTGTGCTGGCCTCTGGGAGAGCATCCTCACAGGGTCTCCTTGGACCTACAGCTCCCAGGGGGGCATGTCCCTCACCTCTGGTTCCCCAGATGCTAAGGATCAGGGCCCAGCTATGCCAGGGATGGGGCAGGTTGGGTGGGGTGGGGAACGGAGACACTAAGGACAGCCTGGTGCAGATCAGTGGGGTCAGCACTGGCCATGTGGGAACAGAGGTAAGGAAACGTGAATGGTGTTGGTTCCACGCCTCTCCTTTCACGGCCCCACATGCCAAGCCCTCCTGAGTACTTGTGGCCCTGCTCTTCCAGTGCCTAGGGGCTGGGGGGTGACAGGCAGGGCTGGGAACAGGATGCCCCCTGGCACAGCCCCATACACCCTCTTCAAAGGTCTTTGAGCCCAGGAGGAAGCAGTTTCCAAGTCCAAAGTCACAAGAAGGCTCCTCCCAGGCCCACACCTTCCAGGAGGCACCAGGCAGCCACCCTCCCCTGGGACACAGCACGCCTGGCTCCGGTGCTACGTGCACACTGCCCTCTAGGTGTGCCAGAACACACCCCTTTGCACACCCATTCCACACACTGGTGTCCCTTACCCACAATCCACCTGCCCTGTGTGCAAGTACCCACGCGTGAATGTGTGCACACATGTGGTGCTGGACGTACACTAGAGTACACGCACGTCCTTCCCCTCTGTATGCAGAATCCCCTGAGAACCCCAGGACTCCAGTACCCCAGGGGCCAGCTCCAGACTCCTTACACACATGAACTCCCACACCCAGCGCCTCTACACAGCACATTCCTGTCCCTGAGCACAGATGGGACCAGGGAGTCCCAGGCCATCCCCAACTCTCAACTGACAGCATCCTCGCCACGTTACCTTCTGCTCAGCACCTAGAAATGGGGACTCATGACCTTCAGAGATAGCTGCCAGGACTGTCAAGCATGGGGGGATGGGACTGTGTCTCCCCCTTACACCTAGGCAGGCTCTTCGAGCTGTCCGGCTCACTGTCACCCACGGATGCCTCTGAAGGCAGAAATCGTCACAATAAGGAGGCTGGGGAGAGACTGGTGGGTGGCGACTCTGGGAGGCAGGGACCCTGCACTCATGCAGGTCAGCTCTCTTCCCTCACTGGGCTCCCCCAAATGCCCTCATCCCTGCATCCCCTCAGCTCCCTGGGCTAGTGGTACAGGACCCAAGCTGGCCTACACTCTGTTCCGCTGGCCTGGGGAAGCTGTGGACCTGGGAGAAAGTGGGGTAGGGCTGGGGGCTCCCTCCAATCCCAGGAACAGGGTCCGGGTAGGGCAGGGGATGGGAGGGCTTGGCACAGGGGGCTGTGAGGACATATCCAAGTTCCCTCCCTTCCCACCGGGCCTGTGTCCCTCCTCCTGGTCACTGTGCCACACGCTAAACACCAGGATCAGCCTGGGGCTTCCAAGGTTCACTGCCCTGAGCAGCTCCAGCAGAGGGGGCCTCAGCCGGTGCAGTTCTCATGTCCAGAACCACCTCTCTCTCGCTGTGGGCCTGCCCCTTTCCTTGCCTTCTGCAAGAAGTGACACCTAGGTCTCACCAGGCCCCAGCCGAAGGCCCTTCGAGACACCTGCCCAGTGGCAGCCTCTGGGCCCTGACTTCAGCCCCAGCCTGAGAAGAGAGGGGTTCTGGAGCAGAGACTGACTCGAAGCTTCTTTCTGCACCTCTGTTCATGGGACTTTATTCCCAGAAACCTCCCCGAGGACAGAGGGCACCAGGGGAATAGAACCTGCCCAGCCACACTCCTGCAGCCCCAGGCTGGCTGAAGCAGGAGGTATTTCAGCGAGACTTCAGGATGAACTTCCAGCTGGGGTCACATGATCTGCCATCCGCATCCAGTGCTTATTATCAGTGAATACATGGGACTGTCCTCCTGGTGGAGGGCTGGGGGCCTGGGGTGCTACATTCACCCCTGCACCGCCTAGGTGCAACAGTGTCTCTGGGTGGGCTGTGCCAGAAGGGAGGCAAGGGAGAGTGCCCGGGCTTGGACCTCCCCTCGGAACCCCCGCAGGGGCACAAAAGGAGCTTCCCTGGCCTGCAGCACCCCACCCCCACCCCAAGCTGCATAGCAA